AATGCTTCTTGATTTAAGAACTTTTAGATATTTGGAGTAGAAACAAGACAAAAATATAAGTAAAAGCATTTATGTATTTATTCATTAGTATTTTTGCAGCGTATATAACCCAAAAAAGAAGACTTTTTTCTACTACTTTTTTAAAAAATGAGTTTAAACAACACAACTCTTAAGTTATTTTGGAACAGTTTATGTTCAATCCACTAATATTTGCAACAACAATTAAGTTCGCTTAATACATTTGTGTTGGGACGACATGCAGGAATTGTGTGCAAGCCAGCGTTTTCTTACAGTGCTCGAGAAACAGCCCGAGAAAGACAAAGAGCAGGAATTTGCGCTATTCTGCATGAAATTGTCTGCGTTTATTTCCTCCGTCTTTGAGGTGGTCCACCTTTGTATGGCAGACCATCTGTGTGGAGCGCGGAGGCTGGAATGCCATCAGATCTTTTGTTCTCTGTTTGTTTGGTGTAAACGAACACGCAGACAGCAGAAAATTGCTACCTACCATTAAACAGGGCCAAACCAAATGTTAAATATTTGTCTCAGTTTTGTCACATTGCAGTGGCGAGACCGCATTTTTTTGCTTTGTCCAGACAGAGCAGAAGAATGACATGGGTCACCGCGGTCAGGTCACAAAACTAGTGCTCAGAGGAAATCCTTACTAGATTACAACTCAAGAACGTACATGCAATACGATTTGGGATATACCACGGAAGTCAGAATTATTAGCCCTCCTATTGTTCAATTGATCTTTTTTAAATATTTCCTAAATGATGTTTAACAGAGCAGGGAATTTTTACAGTATTTCCTACAATATTTTTTCTTTTTTTTATTTTGGCTAGAATAAAAGTTTTTTTTTCAAAACCATTTTATGGTCAATATTATTAGCCCTGTATATCCATCGTTATAAAATGACTTGCCTAATTACTCTAACTTTACCCTAATTAACATAGTTAAGCCTTTAAGTGAAGTTTATTTATCAACTACATGCAGGGGCGGACTGGGACTAAAAATCAGCCCTGGCACTGTAGCCACACCAGCCCTCATTACCACACTGACACAGCCCCATCCACGGACACGCACATTCACTACTTATATTGTTGTACAGATGGCGAAATAATGTAAGCAGTACCATATTTTACGCAGCTGATGTCCTCCAAGCTGCAACCCATCATTGGGAAACCCCTATACACACACATTCACATACACGCACTACGGCCAATTAGGCCCACCCAACTCCCCTATAGCACATGTGTTTGGACTTGTGAGGGAAACCGGGAGGAAACCCATGCGAACATGCAATCTTCACACAGAAACACCAACTGACCAGCCGAGGTTTGAACCATCGACCTTCTTGCTGTCGACAGTGTCCTTTCCAGTCTATTTCAGTTAATGTTATGCATTTGGCAGCGTCTGATTTTAGAGCAATTTTTTGCTTTCTCTGGGCTTTTCGGCACCGCCTTTTCTTTTCTTTTTTTTTAACGGTTCATCTCTGACAATTAGCTTGTGTTGCACTTACTGTTTGTTTGACATTCTTGCCAGATTTTGATTACGTCCATGTAACCTCTGATTGGGTCTGCCCATCTCTAAACCAGTCAACCATTGCCGATTGGGCCAATGCTTAACATTTATTATTATTACTATCATCATCATCATCACAATGTTCACATCTTGCAAGAGAGAAACATGTAAAAACAATACATATTTAAAAAAAAAACGTTATTTAAAAAATTTTAAAAAATGGTCCGGCCCTTCTGGCATTTGCCAGAATTGCCAGATGGCCAGTCCGCCCCTGACTACATGGTTTCCGCTACATTCATTCTTCCATGGCGGTGCGCCACGCCAAAATTCATCCCACCACGGCTACATTACAGCTTCTCATTCAAAACATTTTATTTTTGATATCGGGTAATAATCGCACCAAAACGTGTTAAAGAGTAAGTGAATTATAACAGTGCGATCTTTTCTGTAACCGTAGTACTGCTGTGCGTTATTTGTTTAACCCTTTAAGGTTACATGCTGACTGACTGGCTCACTGACAGGTGCTTGAGGCCAGCAAACACGACGTACAGCCGTTTCACTTTACTTCAGGATGCATTAATATCGCTTTGTAGGTTTATTAGGGAGACATTCATAAATA